AGAGCCAGCTGTACCTGCCCCCCCCCCCATCCGTGCCGCCAGTCAGCGCTGGAGGATCGGAGAGGGCAGGGGGGCAATCCAGCCCCTCCCCTGTCACGGCTCTCTGTGTGACAGGATCGAGAAGTGAGCGAACGCCGCTATGTGTTCGCTCACTTCCCGATCTACTGAGCCGACCTGTGACAGTCTCATTGTCACAGGTCGGCTAGAACTATGAGGTGAGTGAAAAGCACTCAGCTCATAGTTCTCCTTTAAGTTCAGTTTTTGGTGTGTTTCACATTCAGGGCTCCATTGTACTGTATTAGGTTAATATGTATATTAATGGGTATAGTTAGACCCCAATTTACACCGCGGCGATAGCGTTTAAGCGCGCTTTACGCACGTTTTTTAGCACGTTTTTGTGTGCTAAACCTCCGGATGTGCGAATGTATAGTATATCATTCCATTACTGATAGTTCCCACGTATTGTGTTTTATTTTTTCTGTTTCCGTTGAAGAATAAAACCACTTCATCTTAAATGTATTCATATTAACACTGTGAAAAAGAGGATGATGGTTTCTTTTGAGCAATGGTTTCCTGTGATATCTGTAAAAGGGAACTACGTGTCATGTGTGTCTTGTCATCTTGAAGCTACACAGAGCTTATGTTCCCTGTAAGCTTATTAAAGTACATTTGATCCTGTATGTGACATCCCCTGGCATTTTTAAGCTAATTTTAAATACAGTTGAGAAAAAAAATGTAAAGTGAATGCATATGTACAGTGCAGGTACCTAGAGCTGCTTGCATTGGCTGCCTCATTTGTGCCTGGGAACCCCCAAACCTCCAGCATTCTAATGAACAAGATTCAACACTTGCTGGAAATGCAAAGCCATGGGCACCCTCCTGACTCCCTCATGTACCTATCAGCCTATCACTGTTATGGGAAGCCTCCCTGGGTATCAAGAAGGTGCAGGAGGTGGGAGAAGGCAACCTGGCCTCTTTACCAGGAATTGCATAATCTTGGAAATGAAAGCACCATGGATTTCGGGGGGGGGGG